ATGAAGGAGGCTCTTGACTCTCCATGCTTATTGGATTTCTGCAACCCGCCCGTGATCAGTCACAAAAAGGTTGGAGCGGTGGCGTGGAAGCCGCTGCATGTGGATACTATTCTAGTCCCATTTCTCTGCGGATGAGGGCATGGATAACTGAAGCTCAAGTCTAATATCTTCTCTTGTTACCTGTTTATCTGTATACATAATACAGATTGCGGGATGTGCTTACTGGGGTCACTAGAACCTTAGGATAGGGCTCATAATAATAACAATAATAATTATGACGATGGGATCAGTAGATGGATCTAGGCCTCGGGTAATAGATGGATCGTGCAGGTGTTACAGCCAAAATTCGCCTCAACTTGACACCAGCATCGGGCTTGTATCTGAACCTGTCAACCCATCTGAGGCTCCCCGGTAATAAACCTGGTTTATGATTCACAGCCACGCTTAAGGCTTGTCGACGAACGCGGAATATCGTGGTAAGGAATATCGAAGCTGATGTTTCCTACGTAGTGTATTCCTATCCCAATCCGCGGACGATGGTCTTGGTGACTTGCAGCTGGGTAAGGGGTGTGTGACGAACGTTGATTGGTAGAAGGAGTTGTGCCAGGACAAAGGACGACAGGGGACGACAAGGGAAGACAAGGGACTAGACGGGTCTAAGGTTAGAATAGGGCACCTATGACGCTGATTGTTGATTGACTCGCCCGTCGGCTATCTCCAGGAGACGGAGGAGTCTTCCGCACAACTTAAATTTCAAAGTTTGTGGTTAGCTCCGAATTGAAGGTCTCATGACCTTTCATTGTAAGGGTATCCAGAGTAGGAGCCCACCCTGGCCCTGGAATCCACGGACCACGCCTTGTCGTGTGTCTTCTTGCATGTCCACACAGATGCCCACTTCCCCACTGGGGACGTAGATATGGAGATGTAATATATGTATGTATGTACGTACTGATGCTAAGTGCGACATGTGCGTTGCAGGCCAGTTCGACCAGTCCATGCGGTTGGTTGGTCTTGTTCCTGGCGGCGCCCATCACCAGCTGGTGGGCTGTGGATTGTGGGCTTTGAATGCATCCGACTTTTTTTTATTTTTTAAACCCTATCGCTGCTATGACCAATTGTTCACCAGCCACTGGCGGGAAGTTTGGATCATGAAGCTAGGGGGAAGCTTAATAGTAAACGATAGACCGTGTATGCCAACAGCACGATGCAGGTGGAGCGAACGGATCAATTGGCCGGCACTAGTATGTAAAAGCAGAATAGAGCTCCTGGGTTCTGACGTTGTCTCGCAGCAAAAGTCTCATGATGTATTGGGCTGTGTGAGCAGGGATCTTTTTTATTCGTCCAACGAGCTTGTTAATATGTGAGTCGACACTGCTTGCAGCAGACGACTTTGCTATGTTCAGGCGATATCAATTCGTTATAGGATTTGGCCGGGAGGCATCATAAATCCAATTTGGTATTCCAATGCCATGACGAGAATTGAATTAGATTCACATTCTGCTCATACAAGGAAAGTAAAAAAATACACAAAAAAAAAGGTCAGGCTAGGTACCTAAGATGTGGGTATGGGGTTCTGCGTGGATTCGTGGATTCGTGGAAGCATCCCAAGATAGTCCAAGTGCGGGGCAGTAGGAATTCAAAAGCTGGGAAACCAAGGAATCTGTGGGAGATCCAGGAGAATTAAAAAGGAGGACGAGGGGTCGTGAGCCGGGGGATATCTTTACAAAGTAACATAAGACCACCACCTTATAGCATTATACATAGGTAGTAATTATGTATTATTAGTAGACAGTTAAGATGATTTCGTGCGTTAGGAAAGAAGTGCAGTGGCTCTCTCATATATTTCCGAATATTGTTGAAGATGTCAATTTTGCAGTACCCTTCGTCATGGTGCGACTTGAGTGAGTCCGTAACTTCAACGCCCAGTTACACGAATGAACGAATGAAAGGTAGGATATGTGCTACATCAGCGGTTGTTCAATGGTCTTAAGGATAGGATAACTGCGCTTGATGACACATCGCATAGCGCCCTGAAAATTGATAATCAAGTACCTCTTTCCTATTGAAGGCTATAGATATTAGACATTAGGAAAGAGCATAAATTCAGCATGTCCAATGTTCTGTACATAAGTTAACCTATATTTACTTCAATACATTGAAGTATCTATGTTTTACAAAACGTGATCCGTAAGTATCGACATGCTTAACCGGTACCAGCCTACTTCATATTTCGGTTGTTATGGTTCATATGTAAGGAGAGAGAAAGAGGGCAAAAGAAAAAAAAAGGAAACTAATAACATCATGTGACAAAATACTAGCCAGTTATCCAGATCGCTGGTCCCTCTTAGTGGACATGTAGGCTGTAGAAGCATGTATGTACATACTATTAAGACGATGCTGGCTGGTTGAACGTTCAGGGACCCCGTCTTTGACCCTGCAGAATCGATATTCTGTCTCCTTTTTTTTTCTTTTCTTTTTTTTTCTTCTTCTTCCTCGACTCTACTTCGGTTGCCGAGTCTTGTTTAGCGCCCTAACTGTCCGCCTTAAGTCTGAGCAGACCACATGAGCAAGCCCCAATTTTCTAACCCCTGACTTCTTGCATACGTACACGCCGCAGGCGTGAGTCTGCCAAGGATTAAATGATGGTTAGTTCTGGAAAGTAGCAACTAGGCAGTCTAGATTGTAGGTAGTTAGTTAGTTAAGTGAAAAGAGACTGGCCTCCTGGGCTTTGACGTGTAGAGAAGTTCGTAAAGAAATCTTGCTTCTTTCTTCGCCGCCGTTAGGTCATTTGGCCATTTACGATGTATTAATCGAGCGGCGACGACAAAGCAGGCTCTTAGGAAGTGGAATGGGAAACTTCGAGAGCTCCATACCCGTCTCACAGCACAGCAGAATTGGGCTGGTACAAATGCATTGAACCTCACACAAGGGTAACAAGTCGATGAAATCCGGTCAGCATTTGAAATGTAGTGATTCGAGACCTGCGGCTATCTTTTTGTGCTCGAGGCTATTACAGGAGAGCCCGTGTTGTGCATACGGCAGCAGCACATACATACGCTACCCTGGCAAAAGTCGATAAGGGCAGATGTGTGTGTATGCTGTATATGTGTATGTACATGTGTAAATTTTCAAGTAAAAATGGGTGATTCAAGACTTTTCAATTTATATGAGATTTTCCTATAGAGGTCTCATAAATGTTGTAATATTACACATAGCCAAGTATGTTGATTTTAGCATCTTAAGTTTACTTGGGTAGATAATTTATTAGGTTAGGTTAGGTACCTATCTCCGTCTTAATCCTGATGCCCTATTAGTTGCAGGCGGTAATTGGTAATAATCAACATTAGGTACTGTATGGAAGCGAAAATATAGATGGATGTTTAGGTAGGTGAAGCATGTACCTGTATCTTACTGCGTACATGCGTACATGCGTACACACTACATGTATGTAGAGGTAGTTTGCTATTAAGACGTATTAAGACGTAGCTGGACCCCGCCTAATCATAGGGTACCTACATAGACTAATAACGTTTATTACTCTAGGTGAATTCGTTGATTCGTCAGGCTATGTACCTCTACCCTACTGTCATCCTGCTCTAAAAGCCGTAATCTAGAATGACCCCAAATCTGCGCGGCGACTTTTTCTTTTATTTCGCGCCCACCAGCAACTGAAGTTGCACCCAAGCTAACGGAAGGTACCTACCTGCCTGCATGTATATCTGTATGTACATGAGGTATCCACAACCGACTGCGGCGGTCCAAAGTCCAAAGTCCAAAGTCCTTCTTATGTACGATACGACGTACCGAAGTACTTTTGTACCTTCCCTCTAGTTGCGACGACCCCTCCTCCTCCCGCACTGGTTTAAGCCATTCAAACACAACCATTTCCCACACATTCAATGTTCACCACCTCCCACCTAACCTACCTGTCTACCTTACCTACCACCACCTTACATACATCCTCTACGTATTTCTTCCCCTTCCCAACGTCCTCCCGCGCCCCCCATCGCCACTTGCGAAGCTTTGTAAGTTCTTTTTTACTGCTTCTCAATCATCCATAGCATCCATAGCATTCCCCTCTTCATCAATCTGATGGCCTGCTTCATATTCCTACGGCCAACTAATTGCGGTGCTTGCAGTAATCGACCAAGTCGTACCTGAGGTGGTCGAGTCTTGAGAGAGTATTTCTCAGACCATCATCCCACATAAGGTGAGTCCACTTTCTTACTGGTATACACAGTCTCCCGGCCACGTTCGACTGTGGACTGTGGACTGCGGACTGCGAGAGAAACCGATACCATTACCATTACACTGGCAGAGAAATACTTCCTTTACTTATCTATCCGTCTACCCATTTACTTACCTGCCTGTCTACCTGTCTACCCGTTTACGTGCCCGTCTAAATCTCACCTGCCCCGGTCTCCGTTCCCCGTTCCCCTACTACAAGTCTGCCTAGTCCTATTCTTATTTAGAAGTAAGATATACCTAAGGTAGCTCGACCTTAGCTATTGTACTTCGCTGCAGTGGACACTTTAAAAAGTTTCTTTCAAGTCACGTTCCGTCATTCGACCATTGCAACCCCGCCAGAATCCCTACCTACATAACCTCCGCCCTCTCGCGATACTAGACCCTTCCATTTTCGTGAATTCACATAGGTCCTAAATAGTTGCATCTTAGGGAAATTTTCTTTGCACGGACAGTTGGGCACTTGTCATCCTCTGCCAGCACACCATACACCTGCCCTGGATCTAGCCACACTTGTTGTTGGACTGGACCGACATTTCAACTCAGCGTTGCCTCTTCCATTAGAGCGAGCCATTGACCCACTACTTCATCTATCAATTGCGATCGAGAAGCACTCCGACCCAATTGTCTATTGATTTGTCGCCCAACACGGCGTCCCGAACCGCGCGTCAACCGCCTCCCGTCTCTTCCTGCTGACGCTTGAGAGACGCCCCGGATTGTGCCATTTTGCGACCGAATTCGATCCGCCCTTAACCATGGCGCAAAACCGCCCGACAGCGGCTTTCAATACTCTCCGGATGGGAGGTAAGCTATACCAATATTTTCCTATCTGTCATACGCTTTGAGTAGTGCTAAGACAGAAGACAGAGGTCATCCGCGAAAAGGTACAGGATGGAGTGACTGGTGAGACAAGAGATCTGCAATACACGCAGTGCAAAATCGTCGGAAATGGTTCATTTGGTGTCGTCTTCCAGACGAAACTTTCGCCGTCGGGTGAAGATGCTGCCATCAAACGTGTTCTTCAAGACAAGAGGTTCAAGGTTAGTCTTACTGTTAAGTTGCGGGATATGTACCCCGCTCGTCTGCTAATCTACTAATGCCCGGCTATAGAATCGTGAACTCCAAATTATGCGTATCGTTCGACATCCCAATATCGTGCAGTTAAAGGCATTTTATTATTCCAATGGAGAGCGTGTAAGTAGACAAACTGCGACGTAATAACAGGTAAGATAGCTAACCGGATACGTGAGCAGAAAGACGAAGTGTACCTGAATTTGGTACAGGAATTTGTACCTGAGACTGTTTACCGAGCCTCGCGCTTCTTCAACAAAATGAAGTCGACCATGCCGAATCTTGAAGTCAAACTCTATATATACCAGCTTTTTAGAGCCTTAGCCTACATTCATTCTCAAGGAATCTGCCACCGTGACATCAAGCCGCAGAACCTCCTATTGGACCCGAACACCGGCATACTAAAGCTGTGCGATTTCGGAAGCGCAAAAATCCTGGTTGAGAATGAGCCTAATGTTTCATACATTTGCTCTAGATATTACCGAGCGCCCGAGCTCATCTTCGGCGCCACCAATTACACAACCAAGATTGGTAAGCATCTATCCCTCTGTATCTAAAATCCTGACGATAGTAGCTTACGTTGCATGTAGATGTTTGGTCGACTGGTTGCGTTATGGCGGAGTTAATGCTGGGCCAGCCCCTTTTCCCCGGTGAATCCGGTATCGATCAATTGGTGGAGATTATTAAAGTGTTGGGAACTCCTACTCGCGAGCAGATTCGTACTATGAACCCGAACTACATGGAGCATAAATTCCCGCAGATCAAGCCTCACCCGTTCAGTAAGGTGTTCCGTAAGGCAGACGCAAATGCTCTGGACTTGATAGCGAGGTTGCTAGAATACACACCGACGGAACGTCTGGGTGCTATCGACGCCATGGTGCATCCTTTCTTTGATGAGCTTCGGGATCCCAGCACGAAACTCCCGGATTCCCGGCACTCGAGCGGTCAATTAAGGGATTTGCCAAATCTATTCGACTTTTCCAGACATGGTGAGTTTAGTCCGGCTCTTCGCTCATTTCTATTACAAGACTAATTACATTTGGTAGAATTATCCATCGCACCACAGCTAAACCAGAAACTCGTCCCTCCCCATATGAAATCTGTCTTAGCGTCCCGTGGCCTCGATATAGATAATTTCACGCCCATGGCAAAGGCAGAAATGATGGCCAAGTTAGACTGAATTACGGTCGCCGCTTACGCTCTCATTTCACGTATGTATGCATCGTCGCCCGGGATTTCGCTACAGCATTCACTCACTAGCTGGGCCTGTAATGGCTTGAACTCGTCGGACTGACGTTTAATTGAACCCGCCGGATTGACAATAGCAATTCCTCGACCTTAGTGTGCATTTAAGGGAGGACAATCCAACGTATGAGTTAGGAGGAATGGGTTCTCCAGAAGTTTGGTGTGCTGTGGAAGTTTCCGAGGTGTCAATAAGCCTTTTAAGAACCTCTACTTACTCGGTTCTAGTATCTCGGTTGTAGCAACAAGGGACGACTGCTTCAGTATCAGGCGCACTGACTGGAAGATGGCACACACCGGACGTTCTTAGACTTCTCCTATGCATGACCGAGACGGCATTTGCTTTTATTTGTCTTGTTCAATAACTCGCTTTATCCTTGTGGTAGACGACCACAAGGAGACTGGATTCCCCTCGCGCGGTCTTCCGAGATATTCTCTACACAAGTTAAAGAAGGGGGATGAGATGGCGTATGTGTTATTCTATGAGTAGCGGGTGTGTGCAGCGGTAGTGAAATGGTGGTAGGGCGACAAGTGGAACATGATGTTGAAACCGGCAAGCTTCCGGCCCAGGGCAGCAATGGCATATTGGGGCTGGGCAATTTATGGAGACTCGGCATGACTTCAAAAAAGATTTCTTTTTCATTTCTTCCCTCGCAAGACGGACTCTGACGTGCGTCGAGAAGTGGGAAGATGGTTTACTAAAAAGGAGGACCGGGTCTTCTACTCAGACGTCAAGGAAACAAGCCAACTGCGGTTGCGGCACACAGCGATGAAGACACAGCTCTTGGTCCAAGAGAAAGATCAGATGGCACCACTTCGTACGATACTTGATGCGTAAAAAGCTACCCAATGACCGTGACCCCCTTTGAATTCCGCCACTATTGTAACAAGGTCCCTATGCGTAATACCTATTAATCGCGTTTTATTGATAGTAAGTTATAGAGGTATGAGGGCAACGACGTGTGTCTAGATAAATTCATTAGTAATTGATCACAATAGGCCGATTAGCCAGCATCCTGATTGTAACTGACAGGTAGTTCTACATGTTTATATGTCGACTACCTAGATTAGGCTTATAAGGACGATGTGCCGAATAGAGAGTTAATAGGTACCAGATAGCTTCTATCTGGACATTCCACAGCCCTTACGCCAGGCTTATAGCGGGATTTAATAGGTATTAACTAATGTAGTTACTTATTGTCTAGTTAACGATTACATAATCAGATAAAGCTAACAGGCAGGTGCATCGCGATAAGATATGCCAAAGTTGAAATAACCAAAGCTAAAGGTCCGTGCTTCTCTTTTCGCGCGTTGCGTGTTTCCATAGATTCCATAGAACATCAAGTTTCAACTCGTATCACCTTACCTACCTTACCCATTGAGGATAACTTCTTATGAATTTGACCCTTCAATCAAGTCTGTTTCTTTTATCAACATAAGATGGCAGATCATGATCGCAGACAGCCTGCTGGCGGTCATAACAATCGCAAAAGGCGTTACAGAGGTACGGAATTAGACTGGTAGCTCGAACTAGTAGCTCGATCCAATATCATTGCTCCTAGCCTCTCTCACCACGGTTCTAGAGACGTCGCTAAAGAGCCTATATACTGACTTAGCTACCTAGATGATGATGATTACGACCGCCGACCGCAACGACGTCGCTACGACGCGCCGCTTCCCGTTCGCATACGTAAGCAGCTTCTAGGCCTAGCAGAATCCCCTTTGCGACGCTGGCACGAAGAAGTTCAATCCATTGCCCATGTCCTCGCCGACAATTACGAAGATCAGGAGCTGCGCACAAGCTTCTTAGATCTAGTGTTGCAGATGCTTATTGAACAGCCGCTCAAAACCCCATTCGTGGCAGCTGTGGTACTCGTCGCCAATTCGCTGAAACCCGATATACTAGGCGATCTTTTGACTCGGGTCACTACTGCTACAGAGGAGAAGGTCATCATAGGCGAGTGGCGCGATGTGAAGTTGTATCTAAAGTTCCTAGCTTGTCTACAAAGCTCCTTGGAGGGTGATGGCGTGTTCCCTTTGCTTGAAGAACTCTTTAGTCGAGCTGTCGACCTCCAGACTGCCAGTTCTGATGATGTGAGTATACAACCGTTACTGCCTCAATATGGTTTACCTATGCTAACAACCCCCCCAAGACAATTGGCACAGAACTTGTCAAGATAATCCTTCTGACGATACCGTATATTATGGCAGCTGCGCCTGGCCAGTGGCAACAAAAGGCGGCTGAGCTAATGGATAAGACAGACGTCATTGCTTCCGAACCGCATGCGTTACAAGTACTAATCGACCCATACCATGTCGAGGAGGGAACAGAGAGCCCAACCGCAAATATGAGTCTAATCGGGCTCCTACAAAAGCAGCTCCAAACCGAGGCTCTGAATGGTTGGGAGCTTTCGTGTCTTCCAAGGCCATGGCAAATGCCACCCGAAGAGATCGAGCAGCAGGAGAAGCTAGATAATGCACAGAAGCATACCTTACCGAGCATATCCATTCCAGAGAAAGTCGTCGCTGGCCCTCGCCCTCTTTTCCCCGAGATCTACTTCTCGGTCTACGTTAACCAGGAGATCGAGTCTGTTCCTCCAGTTAGTAGTATCGCGTCGTCATTAATTAGGGACGGGCTTCTCGATACAATCAACATTATGGACTTCAACCGCAGCGTTACGGCTCGCTTTCTCATAGACGTGGATTGCTATTTTGCTCCGGGCACATTCGTTAAGCGCGCAACTCCCTTTGATCGACTCCGAGATGTAGAAGGAGATCGCTCAACGTGGAAGCCAGAGGATGTCGCTGTGGACGCTGTCTTTTCCCAAATCTTCGCACTGCCCGCGCCAGAACATAAGCTGGTGTACTACCATGCCGTTCTTACCGAGGCTTGCAAGATTGCCCCCGCAGCAGTCGCTCCGAGTTTAGGTCGAGCAATTCGGTATTCATACCAAAATACCTACCGTCTCGACCTGGAGTTGTGTTATAGGTTCTTAGATTGGTTCACTCATCATCTCAGTAACTTCGGCTTCATGTGGAAGTGGATAGAATGGGTGGACGATGTTAATCTCCCTGATATGGATCCCCGTAAAGCTTTCATACTCGGCGCCTTAGACAAGGAAATCCGCCTCAGTTTCGCACAGCGGATCAAGGGCACGCTCCCTGAACCTTACCAGGCCCTTATTGGGCCTGAAAAAGAGCAGGACACGCCGGAATTTAAATTCAACGATGACCGTAAGTTAAATACCTTCGTTTACTGCCAACAAGCGACTAATCTTAAATCCAGACACTCCATTCGCTGCAGAAGGCAGAGAGATCGCGGCTCTACTCAAGCGCAAGGCTCCAGACGAGGAGATCCAGCCCATCATCGACCGTATCCACTCTGCTGCCCTTGATCAAGCTATCGATCCTCTCGTTTCCAGCACAGATGTTTTTATGACAGCCGTTTGCTGGGTGGGTTCCAAGTCACTGTCTCACGTACTTGCCTGCATTGAGCGTACAAAGGATAGGCTTCTTGATTCCGGGGCCGCTTCGGAGGCGGCCAGGGCGCAAATCATTACCGCAGTCGTCTCCTACTGGTCTTCTCACCCGGGTGTCGCGATTACCATCGTTGAAAAGCTACTGAATTACTCGATTATTACACCGAGAGCCGTTATCGACTGGGCATTGGCTGGCGATCGCGCAGGCCCATACGGGCAAGCGCTCAGCAAGTCTTGGGTATTCGAGCTTGTATTTAACACCGTAGTCAAAGTGACTGGTCGCCTAAGACAAGTTGTTAGCAGCGGTACAGGCGAGAATACCGAAGAAGAAGTGGCTAATATGCGCGAACTTTTCAAGAACATGGAAGATGCCCTGGTCAGCTGGGCACAAGGGACCAAAGACCAGATTATGGACCCTGTAGTGTCGGACGGCGGAGAAGATATCATCAAGCGCTGGGGTGAGAGATGGCTCAGAGTCTTTAGGCGGAGATCTGCCATTGAAGAGACGTTCCTACTAGAGCACAAAGCGGACTCGTAAAATGAGATGTAAGATCCGTAAGGGGGTTTAGGAGTTGTGGGAATTTGGCATTAACAAAAACATGGGGGGCTTGATAGCTTTTTCTCGTGCACTCGCGCTTGGTCCTGTATAAAATTAGAATAATTGATTTAAGCCTTGACCTTATAGTGAATACGTGCTCTAAGTTAATGGTTAAAAGATATACAGGCTATGGAATTAAAGGTATCTCATGTTAAGCTTTTGCTTCTCTAAACATTAAAGGAAGTCGATTCTTTAATACAACCCCATAATCGATTATCGCTAGGTTGTCCACTGGGGCAAGTAGAACTTGACGTTTTCGTATACGAGAAACGTAACCCAGGTCGCAGGGAGGACTCTTACCACCCCGGGTACGATCCCACGGTAAAAGCCTCGCCATCCTTCTTCCATCCACGTTCTCGTTACGACTCCTTTAATACCCCTTCCAAACCTTGTATCAGCATCGTAGTTCTGGAGACGGCTGCGAATGACTTGGTAGGGATATGTAACTGCTCCGGCGACTAACTTGGCGACGCTGGAGATCACAAGGGTCGCCTCGGTACTCATCCTCTGCCTTCCCAGGCTATCTGGTTCCCGGTGACTTGGAAAGGGACTGCGACGCGCAAAGTACAGTCTTTTGACTGGGTCGTAAACGGCAAATTGCACCGCTCCGTGAGCTACGCCTAATAAGCTGATCCCTAAGCCTCGATAAAATCCCCTCCAGCCCTCGTGACGTAAGAGGTGAGCGGCGCCGGCCCGCATACTCGGATATGCGCCAGCGGCAGTCCGGTCAGATGATAGCATGCGTGTCTTCATTACCCAGATGGGGTTCGTCAAGACTTGGGTGATGAGACCGGCCAGCCCCGAGGACACGAAATAGTCTCGCGGTGCGAGCGAGACATCTGGAGAAGCCTTCAAGGCTAGGAGGGCACGCTCGGCCCGGGCCTTGAAAAAGAAAAAGGAAGCCCAACTAGAGGCATTTCCAAGAAGGTTAGGCGCGAGACCTCGGTAGAGAGACGCTACGGGATGTGGCGTCTGTGTCAGGGAGCGGATCAACGATACAGTGGTGAGAGGCTGATGAGAGGTGCGCTGGTAGACTATGCGGCAGGGTTCAGCATGTGGTCATAGTACAACGGGGGCGGGAGGTACCGTACTCTGCATCCGGGTCTTGACGATGTCGAGCGGATGGACGACAAGCGTAGCTATGGATCCCGCGGAAAGACCGGCGACGGTCTCAACGGAGGCGGGAGATAGACCCGCATGATTCTGTGGCATAGAGGTGAATCTGGATAAACCCAATTACATTATTGTAAGACTATACCAGTATTCCCGTAGAAATATCTCGGTATATTGAAAGATATGATTTTTTTTTTCTTCCTTTTCCTTTTCCTTTTCCTTTTAGAGTAGTAAGTGGTAAAGTAGTAGAGTAAGTAGTAGGATTATGTAAGCATAAAAACTTACCAACCTACTACCTAAATTAATACAATTGCTTCAATTGGGTTTAACACTACCTGGATGACTTCATTAGGGCTTAGGTAACCAAGTCATTAGTTCCGTACTATGTACTTTGCCCAAGCAGCCAAGGTTACCTAGGATTAGTTGCTTTAAATGCATATATTATTAGTAGTGTACCTAGGTAATTCATTATTCGCATTGTATATAAAATTGTGAATCACGAATTGTACTTTTAAACCGTTGTGCAATGAGCATACTCATAATTCAAAGTCGACACGATATTTAGTTATTTACATCCGGCTTCACCCACTAATACCCACGGTAGTTATAGTCCGAATAACCTCAGTCACCTTTCGGGCAAGTCGCAATAATGTCTACTACAACGGAAACGGCCCCGGTCCAAGTCGAGGTCCCCAAGCTATCTATTGATGTTGAGTTCACGTAAATATCCCCCACGTACTTTAATATATATATATATATACGCATACACATCCATCCATCCATCCATCTATCTATCTATCTATCTATCTATCTATCTAATAGGAGTCATGCTGACGATAGGTTAGAGGCGGCTTGGAGATGCTATTTTCAGATCAGCGTCGTCATCCCATCTCTATACCAGCTACAAACAAAGATGACAAACCGGCAACTATTGCTGATTTGATCCATCATTTATGTGAACATACGATGAAGGATGCTCGCAAGGACCTCTTCGTTCTCCAAGATCACCTGTACGTTACTACCCTGACCTTGCTACAATTCCTATTTTACCCGACCATCTACAACAGCCGCATACTTATGCACTATCTCTTTATCAAAACGCATACTTGGCGAGCTAGCTAATGCGTCAACGTAGCCGGCCTGGTATCCTCGTCCTGATCAACGACGCAGACTGGGAACTGGAAGGCGAAGAGGCTTATGAGATACAAACAGGGGATAATATCCTATTTGTCTCTACGCTGCATGGCGGGTAACGCCGCTTCTCTCTGTCCGAATGCCGAATTACACCGCTATTCGGAAGCTGAAAGCGGCCGTTACATTCGTCATATCTGCATCACATCTTAAGGTAGACAGCGATAGACAGCCTTGGGTGTCTTGGGTGCCTTGGGTGCCTTGGGTAGAACCCAACTTCGTCCAGAGTGGTGATTCGACATCTACGACTAGCTTCTTAACAACTTGCCTCAATTTCTTTTACCCCGCCTTCATGCATGTGAAGTACTGCCAGTCACTTCAGTCACTTCCAACCGGGTCAGGTGCCGTTGTTGTGAATTACATAAATTACATAGTAGAAGAATGTTGCGGCTAACTACCTTAGGTTGTCATGTCAAGCTTCATGCAATGTCTCCCACGATCGATGTTCTGGCTGCCCAGTAACAACATAAAGCAAAGACCCGGTACCGTGGCATATCGCCATAATAAACCAGATCTATCACATTTTTTCTTGAACCTAACCGTTCATCCAAAACTGGCGTATGTTGATCAACCACTTATTCGGGACTTATAACACATAAACCCCGTCTATATCTGAAGCTCCGCGATAATAAAAACATGATGTGTCGAGAAATGAATAATGGCGAATCTCGCCTCGAAAAAGGATACGATTAGCTAAGAGAATCGTAGGATTCTCTACGCAGTTGAAACCGGTGTGTGGTTGAGATCGATTAATCGACAATACATATCATCTCATTCGCTCATCTGCAAGCAGGGATCCCAAAGGAGCTATTTGCAGGAACGGACAGATACACTACAGATATGGCAGGTGACCCAGAATTATTCATAAGATAAATACAGATTGCATGATGAGATTTCATGTTTATTTCAGCGACTTGTTGCGATCAGCCTCCCGAGTTGGGAAAGCCGAACCATAACTTTACCACGGATAAGAGCCTCAGCTCTGGCTCGACCCCCGAGGGTAGCCCGCATCCTTTAACAAATGAGGCATTTGTCGTCCCTCGGTACGGAGTGTCATTCATTCGTCAATGGCTTTACTACTTACTCCTGCAGACCGCCCTCATGAGAAAATCATCGTGAGTACCTACATAACACATTTACGCATGCATACATACATTGCAGCTAGCATTGTGGCAAAAGAGACAATGCACTAGGGTTCTTACACGCTCGGAATTTGCAGATCAGGTACTTTGAGGTCGCCGCCGGGGTCTAGTCCCCGTCCCTTGATGAGGTAGCAATCGCTGCAAATGCCTGTCGTGTCGCTATCACATCCACTCCATATAAGATCACCGAGGCATTGTAAGCACCGCACCACATTGTCGGGAGGGTAGTTACAACGAGTAATAACAATACTAGTAATGATAACTTTGAGACTATACTACTAAGTAAGATGTCCTGCATACCCAACTTTCTCTCCTCCGGAGCTTGGAATCACTTCATGTGTCTGACCAGGAATAATACTAATACTAATAATAAAACACCATGATTTCAAAACTACCAATAAACTCCACCGGGTTTGCACTCCTGGAAGGTCTAGTAACCTTTGATGCAAATAATCTGGTATCTCCACCGCGTTTCCCATGGCTTTATGCAAAACGTGAATAACTCTTCCCAAAACCCGGATCCTTGGGTTTGTTTTCTTTTATCGTTCCATTCTTTTTTTCGATGCGCCGCCGCGGGTATTTCCGCCTGATTGGTAAAGCAAGGTAAGGCCGCCCACCACCAATGCGTGTGTTGTTTCGTCTGTTTCCGTGTCCACCAGATTATGCATCTATTCTCTCTGTTGCTCTCCTGCCCTCCTCCATCCCGACTGCTACCCAAGCCCAGGTAGCGTGTCTTCTTTTTCCACTTTGTCGTGTGTCCCCTTTCGGCCCTGCCGTCCGCGTTTAGATGTGGATGTGGATATGGATGTAAGTGTAGATAGCCGAGCCGAGATCGAGTGTAACACGTCGATGAAACCCGAGATATTATATGGTGTGCCCCTCTCAGGCAGGTAAAAAATAATAATAATAAATAAATAAAAGTTCGTTGCATGAAAATCGAAAGAAACCGATGTTCAAGGAAATGCCACTTCTGCTAAATCCATGCGGCCCTGGCTGCATAGAACAGCATCGACAAGATAAGCGTGAAGTCGAGGCGGTTGATCAAAGAAGTCCTTTGTCGTTTCTTCTCGATCAACTGCCAGCGCCCTGATTATTACCTAGGTGTCAATAACATATCCACCTAACATTTTTTTCTCTTCTTTATTGTTTTTTTCTTCTTTCTTCCTGTATATTTGTGTTGGGCTGTCGGGAAAGGAGAGGCAATGAATAAGATAGATGGCTAGCCGCCCCTGAATTAACAATATGTGGTATCTTGGATTTAAAGAGAACACCACCCATAATTCGATATATATGCGCGCAGAAGAAAGGTACATGGGTTAGACCTTCGTATCTCTTATATTGATACTCGAGAAGTGCCCGCGTTGTTGTGTTGGTTGTTAAAGGCGTGATTGTGTATCCGTAGAAGCTACATGAGCTAATAACTACTCCTATGGTGAGCAGCGAACGTACTACTGTACTGGTCTTCGTGCATAACGCCAGGACTGCTAGAAGCGGTAGTAGTTTCGCTGGTAGCAATACTTCCTTGATCCATATCGTACTGGCCATAAGCAGTGTGTTGATTGCGATGGACTACTATATTACTTGGAAGGCCGTTTCTAGACATGCCACAGTCGTCATAGTTCTCGGCGTATGGGAGGCCATCTGGCGCATTGTAACGCAGTTGATACATGTGGTTCTGATGGGCAAGTGGCGGAGTCTGGGAAGCATAGGATTGTGAGAGGCTCGGCGTCACGGAGCTCTGGCTTCTTCGGACGTCTTTATTCTTGCTTCTGAGTCCTCGGCCTTTGATGCCCTTGTTCAGATTCTTATACAACTCAGCGAAGTGTTTGAAGATCCTCGTTTCCTCTTCCGAGAGCTCTTCGCTATGGCTTATGTTTTTGAACCTTTGCGTGAGTCTTTTAATAGTTTCTGTGTGATAAGCGTTGTGGTGAGTCTATACTAAGGGATTAGTACTCCTGTATTATTGCTATAAATATATTTCACATACCTTCAAGTTCCCCCGCTGGCTGAAAGTCTTATGGCATCCGTCAAGCAGACACATGAAAGGTTTCGTTCGGAAGTGCGTGCTTCTATGTGGTTTCACGTTCCCTAGTTGAGCAAAAGCCTTCTGGCAAATATCACACCGGTATGGCTTCTCTCCAGTGTGTTGTCGAATGTGTGACTAGTTCGCTTGTTAAAAAAGCCCAAGATCATGTTGCTTGAGGGGGTGCGTACCTTGAGGTTGCCTCTCTGGCTAAATCCTAGTCCACACCCAGGCTCTGTGCATATCTAGAAGGGAAAACAACGTTAACGAAAGTGCTAATAGAACTCGGGGCGAGACATCGTACAAAGGGTTTCTCTCCGGTATGGGCCCGTTTGTGGGTTTCCAGCTGAGTCTTCTGGGCACATCGTTTCCCACATCCCTTGAAATCGCAAATATAGCGCTTCTGACGGTCCTTTCCACCACGACCGATTGTAGAGCTCCTCTTTTCCGGGCTACAAGACTTCCTACGCAAGTTGAACTTCTCTTCATCTTGGTGCGGAGGAGAAGGGTAAGAAGCCACTCCAGAGTCGAATTCCTTGTCAGGCTCGGTCTTCAACTGTATGGCCTTCATCATAGTATCTATTTCGCTGTGGAAAACCACCTCGTGAGTCCTATCTTCGGGGACATTCCGGGCAACGGTCTTGGATGTAAGAGGAGGAGGGGATGGAGAGGGGGATCGCTGAATATCCACCTGTGACTCGTACTTGATCTGAATCCTTCCTTCTGACTCTACCGGGTGCGCTTGGTATGGATCCCGTTGATACCCAACATGTATTCCTCCAGTATCCGTTGGCATCGTACACGGAGGTTGACATTCCTCTTGGTAGTGTTTATAAGGTGGGATGACGGGAGGGGACGGAGGTGTATATGAACCGAATGTGAAGTGATTGCCGGGTGGATATTGCGGTGCCTGTGGGCTGGTAACAGGAGTTAGGGCGGTATACGTATTTCCTACCATGAACTGGGTAGGCATGGCCGATCGGGGCATGGACGCGGTGCTCGTTTGGCCCTGGGTATACTCCATGAAGCCTGACGGGTCGACCATCGGGTAATCTGCATTCTGCTGTTGGGGAACCCACCGTGCCCAAGTATTGGGGTCCGGTGTTTGAGCGGTAAGAGCCAGTTTGACGGTTGGAGGGACTAGTTTTGCAACAAGCAAAACCAGTCAGCCAAATTCACGATAGTACTAAGTCAGAAATTGTTTGCTAGATCGCAGTGTTAAGATAGGGCTTTGTCTATTGAACACGTCCGATGTTTAGGCTTCGAATCTATGATGATAGACGTATTGTCGTTGATTTCTGAGCGGTAAAATATGATGCTTTAAAACAGAGTGCCAACCAGTAAAGGAACGAAAATGTGAATAGACGGTTTACTAAATAAATGAAGTGGCTTAAGGTTCGACCGAGTAGGTCTACGATGGTACCACTAAAGTCCAGAAGGGAGAAACCAGATCTTGGGTCTTCGTGAAGTATATATCTCTTCGAAGAGCGGGTTTAGTGATGTGCAACTAGGGGCCGATCTTGGAGAGCCAACGGGTTGGGGACGCCAACTCGGAGATCAGATCTTGGGACCGCCAAGATACGCGGAGAAGCTTAGACTCCTCGCAATAGAAGCTGAATACGATGTAAGTGGTTAAGTATCAGAGACGGGCTGGTGGAGTACACCATCTCTTGCCTCATATCGAAAACAACCCCACCCTAGTAAACCATTTTCCCTGGGCTTAGAAACATAAACTAGGGTACCTGGGATTAAGCCAGCCTGGTTCTTTTCTACACAGTAGTACTATGTATACTAATGTGCTAATGGGGAGAGGAGCGGGTTACCAAAGGGGGGGGGGGTAAAGACCTGTCCGTCAGATAGCCACCAAGGCAAGTGGTAGATCGCCGAATCTGCATAC